CACGGCTTTCAAGGTATGTTCCATGATCACCATCTCTATGCGCAACCATACCTTATAACCATAAGTGATCTAGGGATTTTATCTTAAGGCAATTATAAGATAAATGCTTTCTCTTAAGATAAAGAAATGCTTTATTCATAATATAATTCCAATAGACTGTATTTACAAGTAGAATACGTCCAATTAGATTGGAACGCCGGGTACCCTACTCTAACAGTTGCTCCACTGGTACAAGTAGAAGAAGGGTGTATCGAGTAATACAGTAGAGATCTGTAGGTAAACCGAGACGAAATATATTTTGACCTACAGAACTAACCAGACGTCCGATAGAGACGTACAGCATACCCAGACGACCGCCTCAACGAGAGCTTTCTATCGCCGCAAAGATTGCAGCCGTTCGACACCTTACGCGCCCTCACGCGCCGCCGGAAGCTCCCAGGCTGCAAAGTTTCATTTTGATCTGTTTGCATCCGTTTGATCTGATTTTGATCTGATCTTGTTCGTGCAACCCAAGACGTGATTTGCGGTCATCCGTTCGTGGCCAACCAGATCTACATAAATTTTAAACCGTAACTTCTCTACGTCAAACCTTTAGATCCACTGCGTATAGGTTTATGTTTGCTATTGAATTCGTGACTTGTACATAACGAGATCCTCACAGATCCCAGCAATACTAACTGTAGTGGAGAGTGAGTCTGCATTGTAAAAAACCTTTGTGTAATGGCCGAGACACCTATACTAATTAAAGAGTTCCAGACGGGGCGTGGTTTGCTCTCTTGAAGGTTCATGTTTTGTAGAACCCAGCTTCCGCATTTGAGTGAACTTACTACTGTGTTTACTGTTTCTACTACTTAGTGCAATTCTGTGTAATGCCTTCAAAATTTCACAACTCTTTTTTTCACAATTAGTCATGATTAATAAAAAAAAAAAAACTTTTTAAATGAATTTATTTATTTGTATTCGAGAATGCCCATAGGTTTCCGAGAAAATTATCTCAGACACACTTCCTCTTCATCTTATATCNTTTAGGTCATATTACTCTAGGTTAAAATTTATATATGATGAAAGATTTTTGGAGCAATAATTCTTCTAAATAATTAAGGCACCATATAAAAAAAACATCTCATCAATTATCTCTCACACCGTTGTGAGAGGGGAGAAGAATGAAACAGAGGTTTATTGAGTTTTTGAATTAAAAGGAAGCCTAAGATTCAAAGTCACTGCTCGAGAACCTCACTAATGGTGGGCGAGTCGAATCCAGTGGTCCCGATGAAACAGGAACCTAAGCTGGAAGGAGGCGCATGATACAGTAAAACAAATGCTTAATTCAAGTAAACATTAATTACATATAAACCATAAATTTTCATCACAGGTGAAAAATCATATATAGTAAAATTTAAGGCATCCACCCAACCATCCTTCCTCAGCCAGCAAAGTAAAATATTGTTTAGATTGAGTTTATATTAAGTAGATAAAGACTGGAGGAAAATTTTTAGCCTAATTAAATGTCCAGTATAATAAATTTATCTGCATGCTTACCAATCATCCTTCATATACCAGTAATAAAAAATAAATTTGGTAATTGAGAAGAGGTTTTATTGCTCATAATAATCACCATTTCTTCTTTTGTCATAAATGTGTTATTTTGGTAACATAAGGTTGTTACGGTATGATTTAAGAGGAGCTAATTAACTGATAATTTGCTAATTTGCTATATAAATGAAGAAGGAGATAGTTTGACATTAACAATTGTATGAAGTCCTAAGAACATCTCTAATGCTCAAATGTTGTTGTGGTAAATTATATTCCATGTCAACACATTTAGCAATATCATAACTTTTCATCCTCTAATGTACAATGCGATCACAAATGTTGTGCTAATGTGAACATATTAATGTCTACAAAATGTTGTTCATCCACCTTGTTCTCCGCACTCTATATAGCCAATGAAGAGAAGAGAGAGAATTATTCTCACTAATTTCACATTGATTAATTATTTAATTAATTTTCTTACTACTTATTATAGAATTTTAATATTTGGTAAGCATATAATATTGTAGCTAGACTACATTGTTCACTGGAGATAATTTTTAATTTATAGTTGTAAACTTAACATTTTCTCGACATGTTTCACAATTCATTCAATTTATTAACATTTGACAAAATTTATTATATAACAACATTAGATCATTGGAGATTTTATATTGATATTGATACATAATGGTAATTTTGAAATTTTAGCACATAATGGCATGTGAAATTTATATGGGAAATTTTTAATTTCAGTTAAGGATTTCATTAACATATAATATGCCATCAAAAAAGGTAATACGGTTACATCCAGTATAATTAAAATATTTTTAGTTTTTTCAGGTAATTTTATAAATAAGAATATAAGAGGTATATAAATGTAACAAAAATCATAGCTTGTGGTAAGGGGTGCAAATTCCTCCATTTATATTGATACACGTGTATTACTGTATTTAGCCTTATTTACGAGCCAACCTGGGCCCAACATATAAATTGGACGATGCTATTCGTAGCCCAAGTCCAGTAGGTTTTGAATATTGGGTGTTTTGGTTGGGCAGCTCCTAACCGAGTCTGAAAAATAGCTCTCTACATATACTAGGCTTTAACACTTATAGTACACGATCACAATTCATAATTCATCGGTTTAAAATAAATAGTTGAAAATGACTTTATAAAGCAAAAATGGCCATCCTTAGAGTAGTTAATAGCAATAAATAGTACTCCAAGGGTGGGTTTGGTAGCATTTTTGGATTGGGCTTGATATAATCCACACCAGTGGGCCCCAGGTAAAAAGAGGTATTATATCTCCCTTAATATCATGTTTGTTTTCATATCAGAGTCAAAGGATTACAACTTTTCATTTGTTTGGTTGCCTAAACTTCGTTATGTTCAATTGGGCTTTTCAAAATTTTGTTCTTGAACTCCCAATTATGACTCGTGTACAAAGAACAAAAAACCAAGGGACGTACGAGAAAAATGAATTTGCGGTTGTTCTAGGTCATCGCCTACTGCAAGAAGGGCGAATCGATTCTTGCAACTGACCCATATAAATACTCCACTCCCGGTCATCTGCGAGAGCAATTTTCTCCAAATTCTCAATTTTTCCTCTCTTTTGTTGTAGGGTTTCAAATTTTTTATTCAAATAAATGTTCCGACAAATTTCGGAGGAGCTAATTGATGACTTCTGTCGTTGTGGGAAGCCTACTGTGCGAAAGACGTCATGGGCTGATGGTAATGCGGGGCGGAGGTACTCAGCGTGCGAAAAGTACCGGGTGAGTGTCTAGGGTTTCTATTTATATTCTATTGATTTCAGTTTGCAAGTTTAATTGGGGATCTTTTTTCGACATTATCAACAGTCTTTTTATTTTTTATTTTTTATTTTTTCGAATTCCAGATGTTGGATGGGTGCACATACCATGTTTGGGTTGACCCTCCAATGTGTTACAGAGCACAACAACTCATTCCCGGGCTTCTGAAACGGGCCAAAAAGTTGGAAGAAGATATTGCTAGAAGGAANAAATTGTTTCTGTCAACTCCATGTAAAGTCTACTGGCTTCATGGGTTCAGTCAATTTGTATAGGCCTTGCACACAATAATGCTATGTAATCCAGAGGAGATATATGCGCATTTAATTTGAAAGCATCAGAATTTATGATATTGAACCTTTCACATCATACTTTCAGCATATCATGAGGGTAATCATTTTTAATACGGATTCTTTCTTCCCTCTCTTAACCTATCTCATTTGCTAAAATCCCACAAATTAATGATCAGGTAAGATTAAACAATACTGCTGACTGAAATATAATGTTATGAGTCCTAAATGAATGTTAATTAAACAAAGCATTTTCGATCTCTTGCTAGGTGAGATCCAGTAGTCCACTGTTTGGCGACCTGTTACAGGATGACAATACAAAAGATTATACGAGCTCTAACCTTGGTCGTCTCAGTCGAATTTATGTATAGGTAAATTGGTTTTTTGATATTTTCATGCTGAAGGTAAAGAAATTGTGCTGTCAACAATTCATGGACAGATGGAGAGAGAGGCATTCCCAAGTACACGACTCGCTCTGCTAAGAGGACCGACGCTAAATCTGGAAGAGGTTGATCCTCCGCGCTTCCCATTTCGAAAGGAATCACCTGTTAAACACAAGATGCAGCAACTCAACACTGATAACAACACTTCACACCCCTAGCTATAGATGTGAAAGTTCACTGGCAATAAAGGAAAAGGAATATATTCTTATTCCCCTGACATTATATCACTTAATCAGCCATTGAGTTGTCCTAACACAGACATCAAGTGAATATTAACTTTATCACATTATTAAAATAATGAATATATCCAGCTGGAAAAATCATGTGATGAAATTACTGAAGCATGCCTGCGAAGTCATAAATGATTAAAGTTGCACTCCTCTGCTTATAAATAGGGTATGGACATATGAGCTCAAGCACATCAAAGAGACACAATATTTCTATAATATCTGCTTAACAAATATAGAACACATATTCATTTTGAAATGGCTCCCAAACGTACCTGCAACTCTTCAATCTCGCAGGAGCGGGTTTTTTTTAAGGGTGAGTGGACAAAGGATGTTGTGAAATTTTTTGTGAAGGAACTCGTAGCACAAGTTGTTGAAGGAAACTTCAAACTGGGGAAGCCTAATCATCACGCCATCCTCTGTGCCATGGGTGTGATCAACGAAAAATTTGGTAAGACCTTCGATTTAAAATTTTGTCAAGATAAAATTCACAAGCTTCATAGACGCTATCAAGTTTTCAAGTGGATACTTCAACAAAGTGGTGTAACCTACAATCCTGGGAATAATAAGGTCTATGCTAGTGACTTTACGTGGGAACACATTATCAGAGTAAGTGTGATTGACCTATTTTGGTATTTCTATATGCCTTAGTGATTTGTAGTTTCATATTCTTATTTACCTTGGCATAAATTGATTTTTCTAGAATGAGAAGCTCGGAATGGCCTACATGGAACATGGTGAATCAACTTTCGATTTGCTGGAATGCCTGTTCGGAAAAGGTGAAGAGATGGTGCCTCAACCGTGCGCGAGAGTAGTGATTGACATTTCAGATGACACCATGGAGGAAGGCGATGAAGACGATAACGACGAGCATGATGCTCAGCCACTCTTGGCTGTTGAGAACGACTCGGACAACACCAACAACGCTTTTCATTACGAACTTGGTTGGTACAACTCCGACTCCACTAGTGTATCGTCATTTGCTGACCCTGAACAGCCACCAACCACAGTCGCTTCTACTTCGGAGGTTTTGGGTAAGTTTAAGAAGCATTGGGCCGCACACGATTGGGAAAAGCACACAGAAGATGTGGACGATGAGATTCCAAACAGTTCAACAGCTTCGTCATCTCCATTCAAAATGTAGCTGGCCGTGATGCACGTAAATTTCGGTAGTTGATCTTTAATCGTACTCGTTAGGATGACTATTTGGTTTATCTTTAATCGTACTCGTTAGGATGTTCTTGCATTTTCCATTCAATAACCAGCTTAGTCCTTTGGTTCTTTGCTTAGCGGAATTCTCTGGAAAGTTGGGTAGATTCAATGTTGCATTATGGTATGTAGTATGTAATCATTTGAATAAAGAAATCGCCGAATATTTCTTTTTTATACCTTGTCAAATATTTTCATATTGACATTTGAAGTCTTTTTTTTTTTTTTTTTTTTTTACCTTTGATTGCATCATTTGGCTATCAAATTTTATGTGTGTTTGTGTGCGTGTGTGTGTACCATAATTTTTTTGAGAAGTATTCTACGCAGTGCTTGTTTTAGAATGAGTTTACTGTTTTAGGAGGGGGAACATAACTCTGTGTTCTTTTTTAATGTTTTGTGTTCAGGGGAGATTTTTAGAGAGCATGATTTGGTTATGAATGTGTTTGCGTCTGTATTATGTTAGTTGTTGTATTATGGAGGCAAATTTTTTTATGAAATATGAACTTTTAGGTATGTCTCAAATTCCACTTAGATTTCTGTTTTTCTTCAATAGCTTGTAAAGTTAGCCTCCCAGGTTGTAAACTTTTAGCTTTGTTTCAGAAATATTAAGTTACAATTTAAGAAAAAACAAGTTGTAATGAATTAAACAATAGGGATCCTAAAGCTCAAGTTTTGTGGCTCAAATTTCCAACAGAAATAAAGCAAAGAAAAAAAAAGAGAGAGAGAGAAAGGTCCAAACTGTAACAACAATGTCACAATTGCAAAGTTTCACATATACTGGGATAGAAATATAAATCGAGGACATATAATTTTACTACTAAACATAGCTTTAATAGATTAAAACAAAATATTGAAAGCTACTCAACACAAATTCATAAACTTAAATGAAAAGCAAAAGCTCCTGCTTAACAAAAAATACACACAGTGCAATTCATAAACTAAAATGAAACCCCATGAAAAGCAAAAGCTTCTGCTTAATTCATTTCAAAATCACAGTACACAAAAATTCACCTTAAAAGAAGCACAAAACCTTTCCACAGCAAACCAAGAATCCAAGAATGAAACAGCAAAACAGTTCATAGCAAACGTCATAAATCATCCAAAACATCAAGTACATAATCAACCGTACAATGGGCACCGTTCATAGCCCAAATTAAATGCCAATGTACCAAGTCTTTCACGCATTGGCATAAATGTCATACTTACCATTCTAAATATTAAACGTGCTAAATCATCCAAAAGATCACATACATAATAAACCATACAATGGCCAACATATCATAGGGTTTCTATTTATATTCTATTGATTTCAGTTTGCAAGTTTAATTGGGGATCTTTTTTCGACATTATCAACAGTCTTTTTTTATTT